TAGTTATGTTTAATGGTAAATCTAGCATATGTCCATTCGAAACTCTGTTAAAAATCTAAAATATATTATGAACAGCCATTGGTGGAAACAAAAAGCTCAAAGATCATTACTACACAATTAAGAAACATAATTAAGCTTCTACAGTTTGGAGAAACTGTGATTTACAAAGATCAATTTTAACTCCTAAAATACCCCATAGGCTGTTTGGTGACGCTTGATCCTTGCTAGTTAACATCACATGGCTTTTACACCTGTGGTTATGCCACACAAAAAATCAATCATAAGATGAACAATGGAGACTTTCGCTTATACAAACAATGTAAAAGCATATAAAAATCCGACAGTAAGGACACCTGGGGGATGAAGGTACAATTCTAGCACTGTTCCACAATCCATTTCCAAGAATGTTAAGAAACTTAGCATCCATGTATTTGACGTCTCTAAGAGCATCTCTAAAAAGGAATTCTATTTTGAAGTTTCACAAACTCTATATTTGAAGTTCCAAACTGTTCTTCTCCAAAAGAAAAACTTCAAAACTAACTTCAAAATTATTTGTATATTACATTATGGTCCTTATATTTATCACAATTAATGAAAATCCATAAAACTTTGCTAAATAGCAAACACATATATAAAAATATTACAACAATATTAAAGATAAAAGTTAACATGAAAATATAAAACTAGAAATAGAAATATATACGAATGAAAAATGAAGCAAGAAAATTAGCTTTAAAAGAAGTATAAGAGGAAAATTAAATATTGCTACAAAACTTAGCTTCTATCGGTGATATTAATACTCGTGAGTATACATTCGTTCTGAACAAGAAAGAATCATACGTAAAAGACGTCAAGAACAACAAGAACAACCATCTTCGGTTACAAAAAACTTGTTTAGATTTGAAGATTTTGGAGCTTCCGGGAGAGATTTACCAGATTATTAGTGTTGTAGTAATATTTTAATTTCTATGATAATTATGTTTTCATGTACCTTTTAAAAAAAAAATTAATTAAGTATATTTTGTAATATTCTTGTTGTCTACTTCTACTTTTAAAATAATATAAATTTTATTTTATTTTATTTTATTTAATCTTATGTGTAAAGCTAATTTATAGAAATAAATTTGAAGATTTGTGAGATATTATGTTTTTTAAATATTAAAATGATAAATAAGAAAATACTTAAGAATCATAAATAAGATATGTAAATATAAGGACCAAATTGCAAATAAAAAGATGAAACTTCAAATTTGAAGTTTTGAAGTTTCTTTTTAAAGAGCAAAAAAATAAGTTATAGAGAGTCTTTTGGAGATGCTCCAACCAGAACATGCCATCCTCTGACTTTTAACCACGAAATTTTTTTTTTTTTTTTTTTTTTTTGACAACCAAAGGCTGATCTATTACTCAAGCTTGAGGTGGTCTGGGAATCTAGACCGGAATAGAACAACCAACATACATGAGATCCCGATAAAAGGATCAGGCAGTCTTATGTGTAAGTCCAACATTTTTTTATGGGTAAGTCCAACATTTTTTTTTTGGTGAAAAGCTCATTGTCAAACAATGAATGCATATTCACTTACGGGGCACTTTTTAAATTAATAAAATATAAAAGAAAAAATTTGATTATTATGCTGGTAAGGTGAAATGATAAAAAATGATGGTAAGGGGAACGTAAGAGAGTGGAAAGCCATACACATGTGATAAATATAAAAGGAAAAATCATTAAAGAGAAAAAAAAAATTAAAAAGATAAATAAAAGATCAACGTTGTCCAAAAGCTAAGAAAATTCAGATTTTGGTTTTTGTGTAGAACTAGGTAGTTATTTGAAAAACTAGTTTTCCTAGTTTCTATGGAATCATTTTTTACAAAAGCTTGATTGGCAAATAAAGTGGTTTTTCAAAAAACAAAAACCAAAAACTATTTTAAAAACTACAAACAATCAACCTCTGAGTTTAGTATTTAAGACATCTTTATTAAAGATTCAGAAAGAGAAGGCAAGTGACCATAATAATACCTATTGTGTACCCTTTTTGGCTAAGAAGAAACTTGAGCAATCTTGCTGAAACGAAAGCTCCCATCGCCAAAGAAATATCCGTTTTGCTCTGAAGTTGAAGAGAGAAACAACATCAATAGAACCGTGTAAGAGTTTGCACGTTCATCTGCGCCTACATGTTTGATTGGCCTGGAGAATGTTGTAGTATGGGGACCAACAGAGCCTCTCGAAAGGTCTCTGTAATTAGTCACTTTGCCATTAAGTGTCCTAGTCGAAGCCAGCGGCAAAGGAATTGAAAGGTTAAGAACATGCAGACCAAGCGATTTAAGAACAGAGAATGCATCAACCTTCGTCTCTTCTGCTTCCTCAAGAAAAAAAAATTTCATCATTAGCGCTAAACCTATAAACCACAATAAGAACATGCAAAACCCAGGTCTATACCATGGATTCATAGACGATTGTAAAACTATTATCCAATTTTTTGATGAAATTAATGAAATCAGAGATGGTATCAATGGGCTGATGTATAGTCAAAAGTGCAAAACTTACGTATATTCGATTGCTGATGGGCTTGAGATCCACGACCTGGACGACAGTTTCAGGGCAATTCGAAGGATGGGGTTGAAAATCCGGCTTAGATAGCATCTGGGTTCACCGAGTTCTTTATTCTTTCTCTAGTGAAAATGTTTGGTTTGTACTTCAATCGAAATGGAAACCCTAAAAGTGTGTGCTTGTGAGCGATTGAATAGATTAGAGTTGAGAGGAAGAGGAAAGGGGTTCGGAAAGGAAGTAAATATAAAGAGAGAACACGGGAATCGGAACGCTAACATCTCTGACTTTGTAAAAAATAATGAAGGTTATTAAATGTGAAAGAGTGGGTCAACTTAATTTCAATTTAACGGCGTAACTATTCATGCGGTTTAGATTAGTTTAAACCAAACATAGAACAAAACAATGGCAGCCCAGATGAGAGAAACCCATACGAAAGGGATAAAAGAAATTACATGAGCTTAGGAGTGATGATGAAACTGCATCATTATAATATAGATTACTTTTTTCAAACAAAAGAAAGTTCTATAGATAACTAAATGAATTTATGAATTATTCAAAAAAAAAATGAAATCCTATTTAAAAAAAATTATATTTTAGTATAAATACAATAAGAAAATTTATTGTCATTAAACCCACAAAACAAACAGGAAGAACTTCCAAATACAATATAGAATAAGATCTCAGTTCAAGACAATAAATGAAAGGTATTCGAGATGAGATTGCAAACAACATATAGATTAGGATTCATTAAATTTTTAATAATATTTTTGTTTTATTTAATAAATTATAATCTTATTTAAAGTTTAATAAATAAATATTTTTTAGTTCCAATTTTAATTTTCTTATTTACAATAAGTAAATAAAATATGTTGTTGATAAATTTTGATTGATTTATTATTTTAAACTACCCAATATATTTTATGGATTTGCATAAATAAAAAATAAAATGAAATAAATAAGTTATACATTTTGGAAATGAATTTTAAATATATATATATATTTATAACAAACACATCTTCTAAAGCTTTTGATTTCAAATTAAGTTTTAATTTTTTTCTAAAGTAAGAGTTACAGCTTTCAAAGCCGAAATCTCTACAACCATAATTCTAAAGTGAAATCCTAAAACGAAAGTCGTTACCAATGCGTCATCTCAAAAATCTTGACGTATGTACATATGAGGGGAAGTCATTAAGTGCTGCAATCTTTGTTATAATAGACAAATATTGGTTTTTCTTGGTGAAGTTTTTAATGAGGCATCATCTACAGAGTTTTGAAAAACTTTGTTATAATGGATATCAAGGCGAAGTGTTATGAATATTATGGTGAAGTCCATATCGAAAGTTCTACATTTATTTACATTCCAAGTTTACTTATTCTCCACGTTAGATTTTATCCTCAAACTATTGGAATACTATATAAAAGACTCATTACTAATGGAATAAGAACAAGGCACAACAATTTGGAAGGAGACTCAGCCACCTAGGTATTTTTGTACCTATCTGCCGCCTTCCCGGTGGTTTGGCTTCGCCACCATTGGGGTGGGCTCTTCCTTTCGTCATGACGTCCTTGTTTCCTTTGAAGTCGTTCGCCGTCTTTGTTGCTCTCTCTCTTTAAGGTGTCTTCTATTCTCTTGGAGACATCGTTTCTGTATAAGGTTTCAGGTTTGGTGGCCTTGTAGTCCGTTAGTAACAAAGAAGGTGTTGTTCTCGCCTTTCTTGTAGCAATGGTGTATGGCGATTTTTATTTGCATGTTCTGCTTGAGACCTTCAGTTGTAGGGGTTGTTAGTTTATTGGTTTCAGATCTGTTAGATCGCCGTTGTGGCGTAGGAACAATTGGTATTAATTAGCTTTCAGTTGAGATTTTTATGGTTGGTTTAGGCATGTTGTTTGGGGTTTCACTTCGTCCTTGCCTCGGGTCCATCCGGCTTGGGTCTGTTTAAGTTTTTTTTGTTGCTACTTCAAGTGGTGAAAAAGCAGTAATCAAGAGAAATGCTTTATATTGGTCTTGGTGCAATGGTTCGGCCATGATGTTGATCGGTGCTTTTCTCTTTTGGATGAGTTTTATTCAGTTCCAGTATACTACAGGTTTGGAGCTCGGGCTCATACTTGCGTGGGAAATCACAAGATTAAATCCTTTTTTTTCTTGTCTTCTTTGCTTGTTTTCCAAATTTTGATTTCAGTGACTCCTTAATCTTTTGGAGGAATATAAAGAATCAAGTTTGTGTTTCAAATCCTAACAAAGCTTGGCTGTGGATGGAAAGAATAAGCGTATGTGGAGGTTTAAAGCCCAAATGGTCCCTTTTTCTTTACTTATAACAAATACTTTCTATTTACCAAAAAGAAATAAGAAAACAGTTATGGGCCTATCACATTTAATAGGATAGAATAAGCGTATGTGGAGGGCCCATATGGTGTAATTGGTCCAAATGATCGAAACGGCTGCAAAAGAGACATTCAGATAGGCAACCAAATCCTGTGAGACGAGAAGAGAGAGTAGTGATCTGGGGTTTTCTCCTCGTTGACCCGATCGGATTCCTTTTTATCGAAGGGATTTGCTTACTTAGATGGCGGATTCGTGTTTAAAAGGTGGTAAATTTAGTGGACCAGGGTTTCGATTTCATCCGACAGATGTGGAGCTGGTGATGTATTATCTGAAGAGGAAGATTTGTAAGAGAAAGCTAAGAGTCAATGCCATCGGCGTCGTTGATGTTTACAAGTTGGATCCAGAAGAATTGCCTGGTAACTTGGATTTTAGATTTCGATGAGCTTGCTTGATTTTGGATCCGATAGCTATTAGGTTTTGAAAATTTTCAAATTAGTATCTGATTTGAGATCAATTATTGATTTCAATAGGTCAATCGGTATTAAAGACGGGAGATAGACAATGGTTCTACTTCACACCAAGGAGTAGAAAGTATCCAAACGCAGCTAGGTCCGGTAGAGGCACAACCACTGGGTATTGGAAAGCGACTGGAAAGGATCGAGTCATATCGTACAACTCAAGATCTGTAGGACTCAAAAAGACTCTTGTTTTCTATAGAGGTCGTGCACCTACTGGTCAGCGCACTGATTGGGTGATGCATGAGTACACCATGGATGAAGATGAACTCGGGAGATGTAAGAACAACGCCAAGGTATTATTACTACCATAATGAATTTCTTACTGGTCTCTTTCTTTCTTTTTGATTAATTTTTTTTTTTCTTTTTTTGCTTCAGGAATATTATGCACTTTATAAACTGTTCAAGAAAAGTGGGGCTGGTCCCAAAACCGGTGAGGAGTATGGTGCTCCCTTCCAAGAAGAAGAATGGGTTGATGATGATGATGAAGATGGAGATCAATTTGCTATACCAGAGGAACCTGTTGTTCGTAATGAGGACAGTGTTAGCCTTTTCAACCCTGTAAATGTACAGTTAGATGATCTGGAGGAGATTCTCAGTGGAATCCCATATGCACCTGGGGTTCCTCAAACATGTACCAGTATTCCCCAGGTTATTTTCTTCTGAAGATGGTTTTTACTACCAATCTATTTTATTAGACCTTGTGTCACGTGTTCTTTTTGTTGTACTTTACTCACTACAAAAGATAATTGTAACTTGCAGGTTAACAGAGAAGAAGAGTTGCAGAGCACGTTGGTGAATAATTCACCTAGAGTTTTTCTTAAACCTCAGGAAATTGGAGACTTCTTTCCAAACTACAGGCCCTCGAGTTATGAGTCTATTGAGGTCACGTCAGCTCCCAATAACCATGCTATGGAGCCTTTGGTGTTTGAGAAGGAGGATTACATTGAAATGGATGACCTTCTGACACCTGAACTCGGAGCTTCTTCAGTCGAGAACCCTGCACAGCTCTTGGACCCTGGTGAATATGGAGACTTTAGTGACTTTGACCAATTGTTCCATGACGTTTCCATGTCTTTCGATATGGAACCTATTCTTCAGGGGACTTCTGCAGATCCGTTGAGTAAGTTTGCCGACAACACATTCGATTGCGAACAGCAATTCCTTTATCAACAGTTCCAGGACCAGACCCCTGAGAACAAGCTGAACAACTTCATGGATCCTAGTCCAAATCTCAATCAGTTCACTGATGACCTGTGGCTTGAAGATGATGATCAGGCTGTCCTCTTTGCTCAACCGCAATCTGTTATTTCTGGAGCATTTGCTTCACCTTCATCAGGTACTTAAAACTCCTGCTCATCTCAAAGCTCTCACCTAAGCTGTATGTTAACTTATAATTCCCATTAAGCCCGATGTTATTTCTGTACTTGTCTTGTCTTAGACTTTAACCACGACGTTTGTATGTGTATATATGATGTCAGGCTTTCTGTTACTTATTAAGTTTTCCTTGTTATGTTCTTTAAGCTCAATAGCGCATAAACCTTTCCATTGATACTTTCTGAACACTATTTGCTTAGGTGTGATACCCGGTTCCACAAATCTTACTACGAGTGTAAATGCCCAAGACCAAGAAGGTGAAGATGGCGGTGGCGGAATGAGCCCGTTCTCATCGGCTCTGTGGGCATTTATGGACTCAGTACCTTCAACGCCAGCCTCTGCGTGTGAGGGTCCTATTAACAGGACCTTTGTGCGTATGTCTAGCTTTAGCCGTATCAAGTTCAGTGGAAAAACTAATGGAACGCCAGTGACTACAAACGTAATAGCTAAGAAGCGTAGCAGAAACTTAGGGTTTCTTCTCTTATCAATTGTGGGTGCCTTTTGTGCCATCTTCTGGGTATTTATAGCCACGTTTCAAACCTCGGGCAGACCTGTCTTCTCGTGAAAGGTGGTTTTCTTAAACGAGCTTCTTAATTACAGGTGAGCTAGAAGAAACCATGATTCACATTATTATTGGTCATGGGACTATTGACCTATTCTAATATATACGAGTTTTTGAAATGTACAGAGTTTGAAAGAGTAAGGATTGTTAATTCTTGATAAAAGAGTTTCGTCTCTTCTGATTGTTCAGTGCTTTTTTTTGATATTCACATCTTCCAGGATCAAAAGCCGTAAGCTATAGGTAAGATACAGAGACTGTCTGGTTTGGTTTTATCAAAAAAAGAAAAACATAATTTTGAATCGCGAAGCAAACTCTTGGAATACTTCTTTTCATAAGAATAATGGGTTTGGTCCACGTGGGCTCTGGTCCAACGAGGTAACACCTCGTTGATTAACAACCAGTTTAGCTTAATTCAGATAATTTCTAGATTAACAACCAGTTTAGTTTAATTTGGATAATTTTTGTGATTAATCGAGTTAACTACGTTTAACTGAAGTATTTATCTTAGTGGGTCGACCAAGGTCTATCTGGCGAAAAGTCCTTTGTACACGCGACCAGTTTATTAGGTCAAAAGAATGCTGTTATAAAAGGAAGAGAGATGACAACAAGAAGAGGATCTGAAATTGAGCACTTACTTGCAAGGCGGCTAGAACTAGGGTTTTCACTTACTTGTAATTTTCCAACTTGTACACTCACTGCCAAGCTCTCCGAGCAACGTTGTCTCAGCTCGTTTATTTCTTTATTTGTACATCAACTATTACATCAGTAAATTTACTCTTCCACTCATAAGTAGTAAAACGCCTTGAAATAACTCAAAGATAAGTCCAGTCACTCTCTTACTGATTAGACCGAACTCGGTTCGAACAGTTGGTGCCCACCCTGGGGCATAACAAAGTAGTGTCAACATAGAAATGAGTTTGAGTAACGATTCAACCTCCGACGAAGAGGAGGATGCCATAACACCGACCTCAAACACTGCCTTACCACTCGCTCTGACATTCGTCAACTCCATCATGGAGCGCGTAGCTCTCCAAGACGAAACCCAGAAGACAACAAACGAGCACCTCGTGGCTATCGCAGCCATACTCGCAAACCCAGACTGTGTTGGAGGAAACTTTCGACGGCCCGACGATTTCTCTTCAACACAAACCCTACCCTTACTCCGGCAAACCAGCCCATTGTGCCGACTGGATTACCAGACGACTCTGCGCAACCGAGAAACAGCCCAAATCTGCAAACTATCCAGGAAATCGTTGCCCTCAAGCTAGCCCTCCTCGACATAAACTCGAAGATCCATGGAGTCACGACCTCTGCTTCACTCATAGAAAGCGTCCTCTCGGACACTCTCCGAACTCCGTTCACTAGCAAAATAACCAGCGTAAGGCTCCGAAAGATGGACAAGATTCGCTTGCCGGCCTACGATGGTCTCTCGGACCCAACGGCCCACATCACATCCTTCAACATTGCGATGAGGCGACAAAACTTCTCCGACGAAGAAAAAGATGCTGGCTTCTACCAACTCTTCGTCGAAAGTCTAACCGGCGTGGCCTTCACATGGTTTACCGGATTACCGGAAAATTCCGTCGACAGCTTCCAAGACTTGTCATCTGTATTTCTGAAGAACTACATTATGTTCACACGTGACGAAGCCACCGCTTGAGATATCTGGAACCTTTCCCAGGCACAAGGGCAGAGCCTTCGCAACTTTATGGAAAAATTTAAGGGCATCGTGTCCAAAGTCAAAGTTCCGGAAAGCATTGCTGTTGACGCCCTTATGAACTCCCTATATGTGCACTCAAAGTTCCGCGACGACCTATATCCCCACCCGGCCAAGTCCCTCTCTGACGTCATTGCTCGATCCAATAACTTCATCTGTATGGAAGAAGATACAAAAGCAATCATCAGCAAGCAGAACGCAACAAAGCAGGCGTCGTTTAAGGGCAGCGACACCCGTTCGGAACCGCGACAGCACGTCCCAAGCGACAAAGAAACCCCGAAGGAAAGTTTAGTTTACATGGTTGACGAGGACAACCTCCCGGGCTCCACGGTCGTGGTCCGAGCAAGTGGATGGAACCACTGGGATAGGGCAGACGACGAGCAAAAGACCTCGGGTGCATCGGAAGCATCAGGGTCAAAACCCGAGGAATCAGAGAAATACTGCTCCTACCACAAAAGCAAGAAGCATGACACGAAGGAGTGTAAAATCCTGTACGAGCATTTCCTCTCGTCACTCGCTAGCGGCAAGTTGGAGATTGAGCTCCCCAAAACAAAGCCAAAGAACAACAACTGGAGTAAAAACGAAGACAAAAAGGCTCAAAAGTCTCAGGTCAAAACTCCACGAGCTGAGCAGAAGACAAATACCAAGGAAAACGCTCTCACAACACAAGAAAGAGATTCGTCTACCGATGAAGTGCAGTCGAGGAACCGACGAAGGGTTGAAGTCATCCTCGCGCACCCAAGCCCACCAGCAGACGAGGAAACAAAACTCTCCCGAGAAGATCTGCGCGTGCACATCAACAAGCGACTTACCGAGAGGGGTAGCCTAAGTCCCACAGACCTGCGACGCAAACTGAAGAGAAGAATCGCTACAGCCGAGTCGACACCGCCAGCCTCTACCAAAGCAAGAGACAAGGTCATGATCCCGACACTTGAACAAGTCGGAATCAAGGATAGTCAGGACGCGTGCGACTCTCCCCCAGACAGCGTCGACTTGAGAAGGCACTTGAACTCAAAGATCGCCGACCTCCACCTCAAGCTCGGCAAGCTGAAGACCCAGGATATGCGAACAAAGTTAGACGCGACGAAAGATAACCGAGCAAAGCAAGCGAGGGTCGCACACTCATCACATGACCTACGCTCGCGCATCTAGAGCAAGCAAGCAAACGTCATCATGGGAGGTTCGCCCCCGTGTGGCAACTCGGTCCGTTCCGTAAAAGCTCATCAGAGTCAAGCGAATACCTCGCAGAAGTGGCCATCTGTACCGAGAACGATCCTTCGATCACGTTCTCAGCGAACGATACTCTCGAAGTCCATATGCCGCACAATGACCCACTCCTCGTCGAGCTAGGCATCGGAGACTGCGAAGTGATCAAAGTACTGATCGACACCGGCAGCTCGGTCGATCTTATCTTCCAGAAAAATTTGGGAAAAATGGGAGTAGACTTGCGTCTCATGAAACCATCCGATCACTCCTTTACCGGATTCAACAGAATATCAGAGGAGATGATTTGCACTATCAGACTACCAGCCTACACCGGTGGAGTCACTCGCATGGTCAAGTTCTCCGTTATCACGACTAAAGCACCTTATCACGTTATTCTCGGCACGCCGTGGCTCCAGTCGATGAAGGCGATTTCCTCCACGTACCACCAGTGTGTCAAGTTTCCCGGAAACGATGGTCGGATCAAAACGTTACGAGGCGAACAACAAACCGCGCGTGATCTCTTGGTCGCCAACGTTAAGGTCCAACAACCAATCCCTCGGATCAACGCAGTCGCCAAGTCCATCCACAAGATATACCCTTAGAAGGACGAGATCCTCGAGGTACATATAGATGAAAACGACCCCAGCAAGATTGTACGAATAGAAGCCTTCATCTCTGATGAAATGCAGCAGACAATGTTCACCGACAAGCTCAGCAAAACGATGGAAGTATACATCGACGACATGTTAGTCAAATCCCTGCATGCAGCCGACCATCCGACCCACCTGCACAAATGTTTCAAGACCTTGAACGAGTATGGAATGAAGTTGAACCCTGCGAAGTGCACTTTCGGTTTCACCTCGGGGGAATTCCTCGGTTACATCGCAACGCAGCGAGGAATCGACGCGAATCCTAAGCAGATTTCTGCAATCATTGATCTCCTTAGCTTGAAGAATAGTTGGTGAGTCCAACGATTGACAGGACGAATCACCGCTCTTAACCGCTTTATCTCACGATCCACCGACAAGTGTCTCCTGTTTTACGAACTGTTGTGTGGCAATAAGAGATTCACTTTGGACGAGAAATGCTAAGAAGCCTTCACTCAATTAAAAGCATATCTTACCACTCCACTGGTTTTGGTTAAGCCCGAACCCGGGGATACGCTCTACCTCTACATTGCCATTTCACCGATCGCAGTCAGCAGCGTACTCGTCAAGGATGACCGAGGCGAGCAAAAACCAATATTTAATTTCAGTAAGCGTATGATGGACACCGAGACGCGCTACCCAACGCACAAAAATATGGCTCTGGCAGTCATCACTGCGGCAAAAAAACTGCGACCCTACTTCTAGTCGCAAATAATCGAAGTACTGACCGATCAGCCCCTCCGTACCGTCATGCAGAAAACCAACCAATCTGGACGTTTGTCCTGTAAAAACATGGTATGTGGCTAAATCTATATGATCGAGTGTGATGTATTCGTATGCAAACATGTAAGAGCATAAAGTAAAGAACACATAGAGATTTGTTAACGAGGTTTGTTTCCTACATCTCTGGGACCACGTCCAGAAATCATTCACTAGAATAGAACACAAACAACGTTGCTTGGTAACCAGCACACATCCGTGCCTACCACTCTAATCTAGAATTACAATGAAAATAAACTACCAACAGATCTCTCCATCTGTCTGGTAGGACGACATCACACACATCCATGTGGATCTTCAATAAACCCTAGACGCGTGCCGCTCTATGTCACTGTCTTGTTGTCTTTATACTCAAAGGACATGTTGCCCTAAATCCCATCTCACGTGGCTTATCTCCTAAATTTTAGCATCATAATCTTCTTATTTTGTCACCCAAATATATAGAAATATTCTACTTTATCGCATCTTGAGGATTCCTTTTTATTCTCTGAAGTGTGTGTCACACACCATTATCTGTGTGTAACACAAGGGCGCAAACCAAAATTTAAACACTGTAGCAATCTATCAAGCTCCAAATTCTTGAGCTTACATTCTCCCCCTTTTTCACTGAGTCTTACAACACAAGCTCAATAACCTTCAAACACACTACACATCTTAAACTCCCCCTGAATCAAGTATCATCTCTCCTTGCTTGAATGGAAAACTCTGTGAAAAACTTCATGATACTTGTTGGACCAGAATCAAAAGTCACCATATCCACCTTCGACTCTAACAGCAGAGAATCCATGAACTCCAACGCTCCCCTCGGTATCTTCACATTGATTATCTCAATCTCTTCAACTGTCCAGCTAGCCACAAATACCGTATCCAGAATCTACCCGAAATAAGATGAATCTCTACGAGCACTGCTCTGATACCAATTGTAAAAACATGGTATGTGGCTAAACCTATATGA